TGCAAACTCTTTTATTACTGTATACTTTTTTAACGCCAATAATTCATTCTGGATTGGTCGAAAAATCACTTTCTTTATAGGAGGAAGATGAACTAATTCTTAGCTTTTACATAAAAATCGGCCGAAAATTATAAGCATAGGTATATATGTCACAGAGGCGGAACTAGCCTTAGGTGCGGGTTCGGCTGAACCAGTCACTTTTACTTAAATATTGTTGCTATTAGAAAATAATTGCAAACCCAATTCGGTGACAAATTCTTGCTCCGCCTCTCTATGTTATTCTAGTTTTGTCACCACAACACACATTTTACGTATCATATTCTAACATACATTGATTTTAAATTCTGAATACTAAAGGAACTGGTGCCTAATGCGGATTCAAAAGGAGATAATTGGAAGAAGCTGGTGGGTTCAATGAGGCCTTTACATCTCCAAGACAATCAATCACCACCAACTCCCCACCAGCCGCCGCCGGTGAAATCTCCGTCACCGATGGTAGAATGCTGTGAAAATGTGTCCTCTCCATCACCCTCTACTTCCTCTGCAGGAACCATGAGTCAGTATGCTTCAGCAAATAATCTCCAAGAACTCTACGGTGAGAGCAGCGACGATGAAGAGGAAGATCCTGACCAGGTATTTGATGCAATTGGAGCAGACGAGATGATTGATGCAAAAGCAGAGAATTTCATAGCTCAATTTTACGAACAAATGAGGCGTCAACAGTGATAGCAATTCATCAAACACATAAAAGGCATGCACGTAAGCGTCTAATTTCATTTCATTCATTTTGTAGTATTAATTAAATTAATTTTTGCAAAGGCATTATATCTCAGAACTAGTGTAGAAATGTCTCTGCCTTTTTGCTCTGATTCTCTTAGATCTTTACTGATTAGTTCCAAATGGAGCAGGTTTTTTTCTACCTTTGTAACTTGCACTCCGTTTCGAACAAAGAAAATAGTGAATGAAAAAGAAGGAAAATAAAAATATATTGAATTCTTTCATTATGTTTGCTCTATATGTGCCTAGGAAAGTACAATGGATTACATTGTAATGAAGGAATATGTATCTGAATCTAAGAGATCTTTTTTTGTTAAGATATAAAAGTTGTACTCCTATTTTATTACATACGTATTTCATCATCATTTTCTCTCGCTTTTACGAGGTTTATTCCTTTTAAACTACTCCTATATAGCAACCAAACCAAATAAAGATAAACTAGAGATAAGATTTTTTTTTTTTTTTTGGTCGAAAAGGTATATGATATTATAGATAATCAAACAAGTACAGGATAATTGTTAAGAAGTGCATAAGAAGTATCATTTGTACAAAAGTAGAATTTGGCATCAGGTCTCCCGTGTGGGAAAACTAGAGATAAGTTGATATAAATGTCCAAGACCTATTTTATGACCTGTTAAGTTCGTAATATGAAATAGAAAGTTAAAAAGGTTAACGTCTTTCTATTCGTTAGATACCATTGGGTAATGAATAGTAAATGTTCAACTCTATATATAATTATCCAATCCCAAGTACCAAATGGGTGAATAGAACGAAACGAAAATTAAGAAGTGTTTAGAACGAAAATAAATGCATTTCTAAACTTTGAGTCCAAATAGGTTAACTGAAAGAAAGGAGTAGAAGAGAGTGAATTAGTACTTCGAGGTAAATTTATTCCAAATGCGCCTCACACTTTTTATCACATTTTCCTACCAGCTTTCTCCGTTTCTTTTCCTTCGTATAAATTTTCTCATATTTCCAGGCACAAGAAAAGCAATTCTTGCTTTAGGAAATTTAGGTTCCAAACTGGACCTCAACGTATCATGCAATTTGAGTCAAATGTCAGTAGTCAATACTTAGATGTTCCAAACTGGACCTTAATTTGCGGGTCATTTACGAAAAATAAGTTACCTTTGCACTCACGAGTAGAAGTGGCAAAATGGTTAAAAGAAAATGATTTTTTCATTCGTATACACTATTGAAAATTTTATTACCCTAAATATTCATGTTTTGTAAATTACCCTACCTACACAAGTTTTGTTTAAAAAATATATACATTCCACCTTAAAAGGCTCTCAATCCATTATTAATGCCTTCAATTAAAGGATTTAATTACACTCTTTACTCTCTTTTTGGGAGTTGTCCTCGAGCTATCTCATCTCCCAACATGCTAAAAAGATACATTATGCATGTCTAAAAAATGTTTATTTTCTTTTTAATGTTATGTGATAATAAATTTCAACGGAAAAATTTATTCTCTTTCTTAAAATTTTATAAAATTAAATACATAAGAATTTTCTATTTGTATGTTTAATGTGTCTCTTAGTGATCTATTTTAATATATAGTAGTAATAGATATATATCATCTTTATGAAAACTAAGACGTAATATCCTCTTAAAATAAATATATTATTCAAACTAATAATTGTGTAAGATTTTCATTTTCATAATATAGAAGGTGTAAGTTTTTTATTTTAAAATATCACACATGTATAACCCTTTTGAATATTAGCTTGGACCTTTTCCATAAATCTAAACATTTTTTCTTGGCGGACATTGGGAAGAGGAGTCACAAACTGCAGATCCTTTATACTACCTAACTCTGAAATGTGATAAATTTGAGATTTTGTGTGTCGAGTCTCAGCTCGCCGGATCTCTCATTCTCTCTTCCATGATCTTCAAGTCAATCAATTGAGTATTGTTAAGAGTGTGATAAACAAGGAGAGAAAGGAGTAGAGCATGAGGCCGATGAATTTGGTGGCCAGAGATCGAATTGAGGCATTTGTTTCATTTTTCGTCACTCCCAACATGCCTAAACATGCTTAAACATATCATGTATCTTATATAAATTTGTAAATCAAAAGTTTTACCAAGGAAAAAATATTTTTGTGCAAGTCTTTAAAAATATCCAGTTAAATATAACTATAATAACATACAACTTAAATGCAAATTTTATACAAAATTTATATAATGTCTTTTGTATATTTTGTATCTGATTTATACATAGTAAAACAAATTTCATACAACTAATTATATATTATACGATTTATCTACAACTTTCACATATTATTTCTACCCAGTTAAATACAACTACAATAACATACAACTTAAACGCAAATTTTATACAAAATTTATACAATGTCTTTTGTATATTTTGTATCTGATTTATACATAGTAAAAACAAATTTCATACAACTAATTATATATTATATAACTTATCTACAATTTTCATACATTATTTCTACTCAGTTATATACAACTACAGTATCATACAATTTAAATATAATTTTTATACAATGTTGTTTAACTTTCATACAATAGTTAAATAAATAAAAGAAAAATATATAAACAACAGAATACAATATTTCTACAATTTTACTACAATTTCGTAATATAATTTACATCATGTCTAATCTTCACCAAAATCCCTTAAAATTGAGATATAAACTCCAAGCCATATTCCCAATTGTTTGCAACAACACCCAATCTAAACAAATAATGATTTTCGAAAACTCGAATTCGAATTCAAAGCTTCAAAGCTTTTTAATAGCTGTCAATGGTGGAATTGCTGCTCTCTTTTCCTTTGCTTTACATTACTGAAATTAGGGATTGAGAGATAGAGAGAGACGTAGAGAGAATTCCTAATTCTTTGCAACAACATCAATTCAAACAAATAATGTTTTTTTGAAAACCCAAATTCGAATTCAAAGCTTCAAAGCTTTTTAATGGTTGTCAATGGTGGAATCGTGGATGGGTGCAAGATATGTGGGAAGGGGGTGGGATGTGGAGAGAGAAACGTGAGGGAGTGTAAGATATGTTAGAGTAATTTTAGGACACTAATTATTATCATTAATTCCCTTAAAATGTACATAAATGGTAATTAGGTATATAAAATGTAATTATAGTAAAACTTGAGTAGGGAGGTAATATAATTTCATATAGTGTATATGAATGTAAAAATTCCTAAAAGAAAACAGTTATCCACCCATATTATCCATCAAAAAATAGGTTGGATAATGAACCATTTAAAAACGGGTCAAATATGGATAAAGAACCATATTATCCACTTAGAAAATGGTTAACCAAATGAATAACTAATGTATTTAACTTTTACATTTGTAAAGCCTCATATTGGAGTTCCAAGTTTGGAAGACAAGGAATTCACTTATAAGTGATCATATTTAAGAAGTCACCATATTATCCGCCGGATAAACTTATTTTTTATCCATCTCAAATACGGGTCGGGTCGAATAATTTATTCATTTTTTAAATTATCCGTTTTGACCCGCTCATATCCGACCCGACACGCCCGTTCGACACCCCTACTCACGAGTCATATTATGTTGATTGATTAACAAACATATGTCCAATTATAATGTCCGCATCTGTTTGACTTTTCACGAGGAAGTAGCATTATAAATTAATACTGTCATTAGTCATTACTTAGATGTAAGAAAAGTGTAGGAAATGCAACTGCTTCTGTTTCGCTTTTAACCTGGCAAACGAATTGATTACTAAAATCAGAGTTGCCTTTGACCCACCCAATCCATGGCCAGTTTGGTCAACTTGAATTCCCAACAAATCACTAAGAAAAAGGTGGCGAATCAAAATCATATTCATTGCCAGGTTCAGATCAAATGAGACACATATTGCAAATATACAGCAATTTAGCCCAAAGTTGGGTGTAAAGATCTTCAATTCGGTCTCTTTGTGAAAAAAAGAGCCAAAGACCACTGAGATTAATGGCAAATGTCCATCCAGTTTTTATTTTATTGAAAAATTGAGAAAGTCACTATTCGAAAGATTTACAAAGTCACTGTATTTACGAATCAAATAATGAAGTTAACCTATTAAAGTTACCCATATCTGGAATAAGGATAAATCAATTTCAAGTTTTGACAGAGTTGAACGCATAATTTCTTGATTAGGCATCTATGCTTTTGCACCAGAGCAAAGTTAATTCATTGGCAATTTGAATTCCATGGGTTTGATATGCAAAAAAGGCATGAAAGGTCAGAACAATAAATGCTGATAAATGACATGCAAACAAATTAGAATTTCAATTTGAAAAATGAAGCAAAACATTCTAAGTAGTATGAAATTAATTAGACCTGTGTCACCTCTTATGTTTCCCACCTTTCTTTGTAATTTCTTATAACTTCAGAACTCACAATAGATCATATTGAGACTAAAAAGAAAAGCACCTTTTACAGTAACAATAGCTAATTAATAGCCATGGATGATTTCAGAGCATTTATTCTTGAACCACCTCAGTCCATTTCTAATGGAAGTCTTGAACTTTCCTTCAATAGTATAGACTTTGTACTTTGCTATTCTCTTTCGTCTCTTCATCTCTGGATCATTGAATCCCCATGGCTTAGCTGACGATGAAGTTGCTGTCGCCACCTGACTCGGCCATGTCCCCTTGCTCGTTACTACGGGCAGATCCGGTGAGCGAGCCCGACTTCCCTGCATAGGCGAATCTAAAATTTAAACTTAATAGTTCAACTATAAGGTTCTTGAAATCATGGTTCTTAATGTAATATTAGTAATGCTTACCTGTTTTCCGCTTACGATCTCTAGTCTTCGGTCGCCGGAGCACCGGAAACTCGGGCGGAGCTCCTCCATATCTGCTGGTAAGACTAGCTAGCTTATAAAAGAGAGCAAAAATATAAATTTGTCAACAGGATATACAGAAGTTCAATAATACATTTGGGAATGTGAAATGGTAATATTGTAATAGGAATAAGGAAGAAGGATTCTCCAACTTCCTTTCTGCTAATAATTTAAAAATAAGAGAGGTACCTGTAAGATGGAACAGAACTTTAGCTGTAATGGGGTTGTATTTTTTTCAGATTAGATTCTGTAATGGTGGTCTCCCAGTACTCGATGACACTTCTTTTTTTCTGCCACCATATTTTTAAATTGGGATTGTATGACTATTTCGTACTATGGTTGCTATAATTAATATGGACATTTCAAAAGATGGTGCCTAGGATTTATGATGTCGTGCCAACCTCGATGTTATCGATCTTGTCACCGGAAATTAATCATCTTCCCTCCTTTATTCTAGTTAAGAGAATTAGAGAAGTCCACAATTATTCTAGTTACTCCATCCGGTTCAAAATAAGTGATTTTTTAATTATTTTTATACAGATTAAGAAATCCACTTTTTAACATTAATTAACAATGAAATTGACCATATTAACTTTTACTATCTCTTCACATAAATACTCCTAACACATATTCCAACGCTATTTACTTCAAAGGCAATGTAGGAAAAAAATAATTAATTCAATTTTAAAATCTGAAAAAATCACTTATTTTGGACCAGAGGGAGTACTATTCAAAGGGTATCCTAAGTGACGATTAGAAGTATGAGATTTTAGATTTTCATGCACCATAAGCATATATTCATTGAACATATAGCTTGACTCAATCAAATTTAGAGTCGGTTTGGCCGAGCTATCAAAAATTGCTCATATTGAAAAGTACTTTTTCTTATAAGTGCTTTTTTGAAAAGTACTTTTGAAAAGAAAAAGAAAAACAAAAACAGTTTGTGCTTGATCAATTTATTTGAGAAGTAATTTTTGCAACATTAGGTAAACAAATTGTGTTTGACAAATTTTTCTAGAAAGTGCTTTTGAGTGTCAAATTACTCAAAAGCATAGTACCAAAGTATTATAATTATTATTTAAAAAAAATAAAATATTTGTTGTAAGAGATTTTTATTATTATTTATTTAATTTAATTTAAATATAACATAAAGTAAACATACATATTAAAGATATAAATCAATAAAATATATAGAGTTATACCAAAGTAATAATATTACTGTCACGACCCTAAACTCAAACCTGTCGTGATGGCGCCTATCGATGATACTAGGCCAGCCGACTCTCACAATACTTCAATAACTCATTCAAAGACATGCTAAAAAGCCTTTTTATAACACGATTTTTCATTAAAAAAAAAAAGAAAAACAAGAGTTGAACTCAATCAAGAAAGGCTGAACGAAAGCCCCAAATATCGGGGTGTCACTAAGTCATGAGCATCTAATAGAACTGGTCTGACAATAGCAAGATTTAACATAGTCTGGAATCCAAAATACAACTCATGAAAGATAGGGAAGAAGAAAAGCAAGGCTGCGAACACCGGGCAACTACCTTGCTATCTCCAAACTGCTGCAAAGACTATCAACAACCTCTACGATCAACTACTCCTGGATTTGCACACGAGGCGCAGGGAGTAACGTGCGTACACCACCTCAGTAAGTAATAGAAATAAATAGGGAACTGAGAAGTAGTGACAACCTATGCAAATACAGTTTATTTCCATAAAAATTCGGTAAAGCGTAGGCATGATTTCGGTTAAGTCAAATAAGTTGATTTAAGTCAAGTTCAAGTAGTGTCAGATAAATTATCTTTCAACAGTTCTCAAAGCACGAGTATAAGGCAACTATGTGCAACACTGATGAAATCATATACTGCCCCTCGAGCAATCTTCACTCAGTCCTCCCAATCACTCCAACCTCACAACCACTCATTCCACACAATCTCTCAACACTCGGCACTCAGTAGGTACCTACGCTCACTAGGGGTGTGTACAAACTCCGGAGGGGCTCCTTCAGCCCAAACATTATATCAATGCCAATCATGACAGAATCAATAAAACATGCTGCGAGTGTAGCCCGATCCCATAAATATCCTCACAATCAGGCCCTCGGCCTCACTTAGTCATCGATCTCTCGGGCTCTCAGAAATCAGGATAATCAGCCCAACAGAAATGACATGATGCATCAAATAGAATAACAGAGACTGATATATGATATAATAATGCATGAACATGACTGAGTACAGAATATCAATGAAAATAGTAAGATGGCAGCAAGAAACGACCACTAAGGGTCTCAACAATACCAGCATAGCTAACAACAGGTTGTCCAACTTTATAGTTTATACGGGAACCAAGTCACAATCCCCTCGGTGCACTCCCACACACCCGTCACCTAGCACGTGCGTCACCTCCAAAATAGTCAGAAGACACAAAATTCGGGGTTCCATACCCTCAGGACCAAATTTACAACTGTTACTTATCTCAATCCGAACAAATCTCTACTCTGCAATGCCCTTGCTTCTCGAATCGGCCTCCAAACGTCCCGAATCAAGCCACAAGCCGTACAATACCTTTAATACATGCTAAAGGAATCAATTCCGCAAGAGGAATTACTAAATTAGACTCAAAACTTGAAATTGGCTCAAACTTAGCCCCCGGGCCCACGTCTCGAAATACGACAAAAGTCACAAAACCCCAAAGCCCATTCACTCACGAGTCCAATCATACCAAATTTAGTCAAATCCGATAATAAAATCCCCTTCAAAACCTCAAAATTCCATCTTAAGAACTCTTCCACTTTTTTTCCAATTTTTCACCCCAAATCACAATTTAGATGATAGAAATCAAGATATAATCATGGAATTTAACTAAAATCAAGTAAAAAACACTTACCCCAATCAACTCCCTAAAATTCCCTTCAACAATCGCCCAAATCCGTGGTATCTAGCTCAAAATATGAAAAATGAGTTCAAACCCTCGATTTTGAATATAACACTATCTGCGCAGATTTCCTTCTTCATGAACGTGACCGTCCTTTCGCGTTCGCGTAGAACAACTTGATTGCCTCTCTGCTTTACTCTTCGCGAATGCGACACATGCCTCGTGACTGCAATGCTTTACCGGCTCAGACCTTCGCGAACGCGAACGCGGCCACCACCTCACGAACGCGTAGAACAAGGACCTGGCATCCCAAACTGCCTTACTCCTCTTCGCGAACACAACCCTACTCCCGCGTTCTCCATGTACACTCAAACTACACCTTCGTGTTCACGTTCGTGTCCTCTCCTTCGTGAACGCAAAGAACAAAATCCTTATCACTCAGAAAACACTCTTCGCGAACGCGAAAGAGGAAACCAGAAGAAATATACAGTAGACATGAGCAATCTCACCAAGACCAAAAATGATCCATTAACCACCCGAAACTCACCTGAGGCCCTCGGGACCTCAACCAAACATACCAACATGTCCCATAACATCATACGAACTTAGTGAAACCTTCGAATCACTCAAAACAATATCAAAACACTAAATTACACCGGGATTCAAGCCTAAGAACTTCTAAACTTCCAAATTCTACAAACGATGTCGAAACCCACCAAACCACTTCGAATGACCTCAAATTTTGCACACAAGTCAAAAATGACACCACGAACCTACTCCAACTTTTGGAATTCCTTACTGACCCCGATATTAAAATTTCCACTGCCGACCAAAATCGCCAAAATTCTAACTTTCGCCAATTCAAGTCTAATTCTACCACGGGCCTCCAAATCACATTCCAGATGCACTACTAAGTCTAAAATCACATAACGGAGCTAACGGAACCATCAAAATTTAAATCCGAGATCGTTTACATATAAGTCAACATTTGGTCAACTTTTCCAAGTTAAACCTTCACCAAGAGACTAAAAGTCTCAATTCACTCCAAAACCACACTGGACCCGAACCAACTGAACTGGTAAGACATAATACAGTTGAAGAACATAAATAAACAGAAAATGGGAGAACGGAGCTGTAACTCTCGAAGCGATCGGTCGGGTCGTTACAATTACCTAGTATAATTACGTATTGTTTACATGATGATAATCTTCAACTTAACTTTATCATAGTTTCTTCCGATTTTATCATTGAACTTTTGTACCAGATTAGACCATCATAATCTACTAAAATGAGTCTTGGGACGATTTCCGACTAAAATTTCTTCCACACACATATTTAAAATTAGGTTTGTGGTTTCTACATCCCATTGAGCCTTCTTAGAGTTGTTATCCAATGCCACTTTCTTGATTATTTTCTTTTCAATATGCATTAAGAAACATTTGATTAATAATAATAAATGTTAAACAAATAAGATAACTAAAAATCTATTAAGTTAAAAAAGAAAAAAGATAAAGAAAATAAGAGCATCAAGGGAAAAGCTTTCAATTGTTAATCACTCATATTATTAAAAATAAGTGTTATTATGCATCAAATCTAAAAAAATAAATCAGTAGTCACTTTCACAAAATATTAGATGTATCAGTACATGCACTCACATTAAAAAAGAATAGATAAAGATACATACTAGATATTGTGTATAATAAATTGATACAGTACTATAAAAGAAAAAAATAAATCATACTTGATGACGAAAGTATTTGAATTTGTTATCCTATTAGTTTTGTTGTTTCAAAAAGGAATTGGAGACACAAAAGAAGAAGTTGTACAAGAAAAAGGGAGAGGAGGTCTATTAATAGTAATAGATAGGACCTCTTAGTTTGCAAAAAGAATTCGAGGCAAAAAAAAAAAGAGTTACCAAGAGAATTCGAGGAGATCTATTACTTTAGAGAAATAAAAACAAGATCAATCAAAAAATAATTTAAAAAGTAGCAAGACATTACACAAAGGAAAAATTGAAAACAAGACAAGTCAAAAAATAATTTGCTACGATTCATGTATCTAATATCTCTAATTTAAAAGAATGGTAGAAACAAGAAACAAACAAGAAAAAGAAAAGGCTTAAATCAGTAAGGGATAATTTGAAAAATATGAATTTATGGTGAGCACTACTAGAAAATGCCAAATTTCCGACCACAAAATCTGTCGAAAATCTCTTATTTCTAATGGATTTCAAGTGGTTGAAAAAATGATGTTCGCAAAATATTTGCGACGGAATCGAGCGCAAACGGGAATTGTACAGTTGACTGGATGAAATTAATACTCGTGATTGCTCGGTATATTTGCGACAGATTCAATCGCACTATTATTTATATAAATTAATTATATAATAAATTTTTCGTCCGATTTGGTCGGTAATTTAATTAATATTTTTTATTTATTTA